GTTTCTTTTTCAGACTATACCAATTTTGTCTACAGATATACTGTTTAAACAGTGGCAGAGAGATATTTTGAAGTTTATTTGGCAAGGCAAAAACCCAAGAATTAAATATAAATTGTTACAAGATGCCAAGGAACGAGGTCTGGGTCTGCCTAATTTAAAATTGTATTTTGATGCCTGCTGTTTGCTTTGGATAAAGGATTGGATAACTTTGGAAAATAGAAAATTATTACAACTTGAAGGCCTTAGGTCTGGGTCTGACTAATTTAAAATTGTATTTTGATGCCTGCTGTTTGCTTTGGATAAAGGATTGGATAACTTTGGAAAATAGAAAATTATTACAACTTGAAGGCCTTGAACTCAGGTGCCATGCCTATTTGTGATATGATAAAGTTGAGGTTAATAAGGATTTTAAAAACCACTATATCAGGAATGCTATACTGCGGATCTGGAATAAATACAAGGTAAGATTGTCTTCTAATGTACCTCTATGGTTATCACCTCAGGAAGCATTTGCTAGAAGAGAAAAGGTGGGAGAAATGAAGTGGTTAAAATACAAAGATTTGTTAAATTTTAAGGAGGGTGAACCAAATTTTAAAACAAGAGAACAGTGAGAGTTAGAAGGCTTTACATGTCATTGGTTTACTCATATGCAATTGAACATTTCAAGTTGGACAAAAAGAACTACAGATTTGCTAATGAAACAACTTATTTTGAAATTCAACTTTGTACAAATGATTAACATGTTATTGCTAAGATGTATGAGATGTTACAGATAAATCTAGAAGATGAGCAAGTCAAGGAATGTATGATTAAATGGGCTAAAAACTTTGGATACAATATTACGTTGGAACAGTGGGAAAATATGTGGATTAAAGGTTTGAAATTTACGCTGAATTATAATTTAAAAGAAAACTTTTATAAAATGATGCATCGTTGGTATCTAACTCCTGATAAGTTATCAAAAATGTATACTAGTGTAACAAATGTTTGTTGGAAATGCTTGCAGGGTGAAGGAATCTTTTATCATCTTTGGTGGACC